CATGCAAATGGTGGCTTAGGAGAGCTGGCATAAGAACTTATCAGTGTATGTTAGAAACGGAAAGTACATTCTAGAATATGAAACTCGATGCTTCCATTGCTCTTTCCTTTTGGGGAGCAGTTCATTTGATGAGCAAATGAGATCTAACTGCGGGGTTTCTAGGCTGACTTTGTGTTCAGTTCTCTAGCTTCATTGCACCAGTAGGTTTTTGGATCAGCAGTGGATATAATTCAAAACTGCTTGTTTTGACCACATTTTAAAAACTATGTACTTTTGGTTTTAAGACTTCCTTTATTTAACTTAATTTATTAGTATTGCTTTTTCTTATTTATTTATTTTAATTTGACCAGAGAGAGAGAGAGGAAAAAGTAAGAAAGCAGGCTGCCAGGTCTGGAACTTGAACCATGGTCACCCATGTGGGAGTCCATTGCCTTTAACCACCACACCACCTGCTGGCCCTTACTTTTAATTTATTTATGTATTCGTTTGTTTTGGGACACCTGCCCTTGCCAGAGAGACAGAGAGAAGACTGAGAGACAGAGAGCGAGAAATTACCTCCTAGTGGGGATAGCCATACTATAGTCCCTTTTTTCTATTCTCTGGGGATTTTGGGGACACACACACACACACACACACACACACACACACGTGCTCAGTTTAAGTTTCAAGCTGCCTGGTCCAGTACTCCAACCACGGTTAACCATGTGGAATCCAGCACCTTAACCAGTATGCCACCTGCTGGCTCCTAATTATTTATTTTTAATAGACTTTATCTTCAGTGTAGTTTAGGTCTACAGAAAAATTGAACAGGGGGTACAGAGATTTTTCCATGCCCCACCCTGCAACACACACTAATATCCTTCCCTACTGTAAACTCTTCCCACCAGAGTGCATTTATTAGAGTTGATGAACCTACAAGGACACATTATTAACACCCAGAGTCTATGGTTTGCCTTTGGGTTCCTTTTGACCATCTTTGATTTGGCCCATGAAATATACTAATTAAGTACTTACTCACATTCCACATTATTTCATGAATTATCAATTCCTGCTTTAAAATGTTTTTCTTGGCTTCTTACCTTGCTCTTAGAAACATTTCTAGGAAATATTAGTCAACTGGAAAAAAAGAAATTGTCTAAATTTGCTTCTAACTGCTAAAACCAACTGAATATAAATGCATGCAATGATTCCAAGAACATCTGTTCATTTATTCTGTGTTGACACATGCAAAGCGAAGTAGAGAATCAGGATCATTATCCATACAATTCAAGCACAAATACTTGTACTGGAATACCCAAATAATTATGGCCCCAACATTTTTTGGCTTAGAGTCTCCAAATGATTGTCTTAATTTCCCACTTCATTAGGCTTGTTTGAACACAGATTTAAGTGCCTTTTTTGGTCTCAAGTCAGGAAGGTTAGACGTACAGATTCAGCAGCCAACAGCCAGTTTCCCTCTGTGTTTGCAGCTTGAGTTGAGGGAAAGTCGTTCAGTACAGTTTCTGACTGGTGTTCCCAGAATTTTGTACACGTGTGTATGTAAATGCCAGGTTTGACTTTTATTTTGAAGAAAGGCGGAGAGAACAATGTGACATGATTAATTTTTTGACATGCTCATGAGATGAACTTCCTTGTGTTCCAAGTCTTGTTTTTTACCTTCAGTTTTGAAAGCAGGAGTTTTGGGATAAGGAGTTACCAGGGAATCAGACAGTTAGATTCTCTGCTTTCCATTTCTCCCCCTTTGACCAAAGACATGCAAATAACCTGCCTCAAATGACAAAGAGCTGTGCTGTGTACTGCCAGGGTCTGAGCGGAGCAGAGTTACTGTGGAATGTATTTCAGTGTCTTTAGCTGATCCTTTGGGTCCTCAGTATGGCGCATTAGGCAGAGGTTGGGAAAGGGGCAAAGAGGTATTGTCTCTCCCGCAGTGCAGAGGGCTAACCTTTCTAATGGAGTATTATAGGTTATCTTTGTACTCTTATCCCTTTGAAGACTTAAAGCAGTTAGACTTGAGGATCTTTTTTGTAAATGCTGCATTTTATTCTTATTTGGATTGCTGAGTGAACAGCATGCACCTAGACCAGGTTAGATTTAACTGTGCTGGCCCCCAGGGCCCCAGGCAGCCCTCAAACTCTGACTACTAGGCCCATCTGAGTGCTCTACAGACTGACCAGATGTTGGGGCCCTTTGCTGCTTAGAAGTTATTCAGGCCTGTTGGGTCTCTGAACATTTCCTCAAAGGAAGCAGTTACCCTGAGTCAACGTTCCTTCCCATCATTTTCATGTGGTTGTTAGTTGATAGGATTGCCATTGGATTTTTAATGGACGTGCCATTCAGTGTCACCCCTTGGTCTCTCTACCAACATTCCAATGATCTGTTTTTGTTCGTGTGTGTGTGTGTGTTTTAATTTTAAAAAATGTAATGGCTAATAGGAAGATTACCTCATCCGTGCAAATGAGGTGAAGTGAGAGTTAAAAATCATGGTGTGTGTTATGTGCAAACGGTGGTCATTTTCATTTCACGCTGAATTATGCAAATAGGATTTAGATGAATGTTTTCTTTGTTGGGTCCCATATCAAGAAAAAAATGGCAATCAGGACACTTAGCTCAGAACTTTACACCAGAAAATAATTTTTAGAACAAAGTATTTATAATGAGAGAGGTTTCTAGTTAAAATGTTAGTTTTTCTATAACATAAGTAGAATGGTATAATACTATTCTATGATGTGCATGTGTCGGGTTAGAAGACGTTGGCCTAGGGGTGATGGAAACAAAGCCTTCTTGGTGTTCACCCAGCATCACACTAGATTGTCTTTAGGCCAGCCCATGGTTGCTTGAGCTTGTTGGTGATTAGAAAGAAAAACTTTGTATTGATTATGAAAGGATGTACCGTTTTCTAAAGCCAGTGACTCTTTTCTTTCTGTTCATCTTGGAACTCCCAGTAGAGTGAATAGCACTTGTGGGATCAGCAGTGTAAGTCTGAGTCTGAGTGGCCAGCAGGGCTGACCGCTCCAAATCAGGCCTTTCTTCTTTGCTCCACTCCAGGGTAACCCCAAAGTTTTGTTTTGTTTTGAGGTTTTGGTTTTTTTTTTCTTCCACAAGCCAGAGTTGACAGAAAGAGACAGAGACAGCAACTCCAGGGTATTCATGCCATGATCCATGCCCAGCCTCAGCTAGCCCCTGTTCAGAGGCACACGTGTGCCCAGTATGTACAGGGAGGTCCCCAGACACCAACCCAGAACCTGCCTATCTGGCCAGGCCAGCCTTGCAGCACATGTTACTGCCCTCCTACACTGTCCAGCTCCTCCTCGAGGTTTTGTGTGTCCCAAATACCTTAAAACTGCCCTCAGGGCCAGCCGCAGAGGTGTAGCAAAAACATATCGCTCCGTTGCTGCTAAAGCCACACACAATGCCACAGGTTCACATCCTGAGGCCTCCTGGTTCTTGCCAGACATGCACATACCTACCGTCCTAGCTGGAGGCTGAACAGTCTGAAGACTGTTGGGGGTGCCTAACTCTCCCTCTGAGTCTCCCACTTCTTTCTCAGTTTCTTTCATGGAAGAAAGAAAGAAACTTTAAAAAAAAACGACTCTCGAATTTTTGGGATTCCCCTGTTTGTCACCAGCTGTTGTTGCCAGAGTTAACTGCCAATTGTATTCATGCTGTTGACCAATACTTCTTGGGCATCGGTGTGCTCAGGCAGTTTGGAACATTGAGTGGTTCCAACTGACTTTGGAATCAGACTGCCTGTGTTCAGAGAGAGCTTAGCTCTGACACCTACCTGCCAGATGGCCTTTGGCAAGTCCTCCACTTCCCCACCCAAGCTTCGGTTTGCTGGTCCGTGAAGTGGGAAGGATGGTGCCAGTGGGGCTGTCTCACTCTGGCATGAGGTCGTGGTTAGCATCACACGAGGGCTGGCGGTGGTGGTAACAACGCTTTATGGTGCTGGACCCACACAGAAAGGTCCTTGGTTCACACCGTGAGGCCAGGGGGGCGAACTGCGGTGTGACGACCCTGTGGGAGTCTCTCTCTTGCTCTCTCTCTCTCTCTCTCTGGATTTATCTGGGAAGAAATAAAATAAGATAAACTTTTTAAAACAAGTTGCACGAGGGCAACGGGCGTGGCATGCCGCATGCAGAGGGGTGCTCACTGAGCTGAGCTGCTCTTCAGGACTAGCAACTCCAGAGGGCGAGGGTTAGAGCACCATCTGAGGCATCAAGTGTGGAGAACTCGGCTGTGGCAAGGAAAACAGACTGGGCCTCCCTTTGGGGGTGCAGAGGAGGAGCAGTTGTTTTTCCTCTCCTGTTTATTTTTTTCAAAAGCAGAAAAAAAGAAAACCTTTAGGTAATAAAATCACATCTGTTCACTAGGGCTTGTGTGCATGCCTCACGATGAAAAACAGGCTGGGAGTGGGGAGCGCGGCCGCCCCGGTGGTCTGTCCCTCCCCCTCCTCCATAATGCCCCACAGTAGGGGCCCCTTTCACCACCCGGTCTGTCCGCCATCCTCGTCCCCTGACCGTGTAAAAGCAATGCTCACAGCAATGTCAGAAGGAAAAGGGGCCTGTGCTCCCCCTCCCCCACTCCACTTCAGACCCCCAGAGCTTAACCATTCTGAGCACTAACCAGATTTTGTGGGGTTTTTTTTTTTTCTTTGAAGTCACCCCAGGCCTGTCCTAAAATGAAATAAACCCTTCTCCTCACTAGCCATGTCTAACCCAGGCACGGACAGCTTGTTCAAAGGCTGTGGTTTCCTGAGCTGCCCAGACTTGGGAGTTCGACTTGGGAGGTGGCTGGGGAGGAGCAGGGGTGGGAGGGGGGTGTCACATCGAGAGTACGCGCCAGCCAGCACTCAGACCCTCAGGCCGGGTCACCAGGGCCCTGTTTTCTCTTCCAACACGCTTATCTCTTTACAGCTGTAGCCAAACCGTCAGGTCTGTAATGATGGTTTTGATTACAGAGGCCAGGCGCAGCTGTGTGTGGTGGGCCGGTGGGCTCGCCCCTCCCCCGGCCCCGAGAACCCGACTTCCCCCTCCTGGGCTTGCGGTTTGTCATCTGTTCGCACAGAGCCTCCCTGGATTGGCCTGTGGCTTCCTGTTCTCGGGCTGAGCCAGGCTGACCCTGGGAGGTATTTCCCCCGCGCACACGCACAGCTCGGTCCCTGCCCTGTCTCCACACCCCCTGCGCCAGGCCAGGGTGGCAGGGAGGAAGAGAGCAGCCGAGAGTGAATAGGTGTTGGCTGTGATCTTTACACAACCTGGCAGCGGATCCCACAGCTTGTTTTAGCTCCACAAGTCGAACAGATGGAACAAATTGACAGCATCGTGTTCACTCACCCTGGGCTCCAGAAGCAGCTGAGTTGCTGTTTGAAGTTGGAGTTCGAATGTGTTTTCCCCCTCCGAGGAGAAGTTCTGGTGTGGGAAGAAGCCCAGGCTCAGCACCCTCCATGTCTCTCTCTCTCTCTCTCATTCTCTGGGTTTTGTAATAGACTCAGGGGAAGAAAAGGGGATTTTTTTTTTTTTAAGATAAAATATGTGCATTTGTTCCCTAGGAACTATTACCCACCGCTCTTTTGAGCAGTGGTGATTAGCATCCCGTAGGTCATTCATAAAAAGCCCAATAGAGTCAGCTGAGGTGGAGGTGAATCAAGAGCCTGTGTGACTGATGTCCCTGGTCCCTGGCCTGCCATCTGCCCACTCCATTAGGACCAGGTTGTGCTGGTGAAGAGTTGTGATGTGTGGGGACCGTGGGTGGCTCCTCGGCATGCTCTGTGAGGCTGGCCTGCGTGGGAAGGTTCCAGGTTTGTGGTTCTAGACATCCCTGTGCCTGCTGTGATCTGGGTGGATGGCGGCATCAGGGCCCCGGTGGGGGTGCTGTCTCTCGCTCA